TTCCTGTGGGAATGTATTCTGAGTTGTTGACCTCTTCTTCTTTAAAAGCTCCTTTACTCACACACACAGAGTCACGCACACTCACACACACAAAACGTCCTCTCATCTGGTCTCACTTTAGGTTTTGAGGTCTATGAGGGACACAACAGAGCTGCTGATCCAGATGACAGTGGGAAGGCTTTTTCTGCAGCCTTCTCCAAAATGCATCTAAAACAAATTTGGATTTAGTTTTAACCTAGCAGTCATTCACTTCCTGCAATAATTGTTACAGGTAAAAAAAGTATGCACTCTGTCTTGTTGATTTTAGCGAAGATTTGTGTGGAGAACACTGTGGTCTCCACACAAATCTAGGACACTGACAAGCCAATAGGGAGAGGCTGAGGGATTGAGAGAAACAATTACTGCAGAGTGACAGGTGAGATTAAAATGTACTTAACTTTCTGGCACAAAAGTAAAAGAATAAAGTGCAAATTAAAGTTTGTGTGGGCAAATGTTAATCCCAAAAAATATTAATCATGTTTTTAAGGATTTGTTTTTGATATATAAAAGCCCATGATGAGTGATAGCTCTAGAAAAATAGTTGGCTCAAGTAGTTGCTGTTAAAAGGTAACATCAGTGTGTAGATGTGAGTGTGTTGCACAATAGGTGCTGAGGGGCCTAAAAGCTGTATTGGTGTGTGGAATTCCCTCATTGATGCAAGGAGTGAGATCCAGATTCATCACACAAACAAACACATGCATGTTAAATGAGCTATTTAAATCATGTAATTGTCTGTGACCTATCATTTTTAGGACATGCTGAGATACACCATGTACTGTACATAGACAAATATATGCACACAAACAAACTCACTGACTCACAAAAATAAAAATGGAGACCTGCTCCAGCTGATCATCTGTCCCTAGGAATTTATTTCTTTTGGTTGATCTTTAGTAAAATGCACAGCTGTCCTGTTTATTTAGTGCAATATCTACAGAGGAAGACTAGGATCCATAACTGTCTCATAATACTGGGAATGAAGTAGATTATAGGTTCCTAATTGGATTATAATCACTGAGGAGCATAAAGAGCTCAGGTGCCTCTGAACACTTTCTGAGCAGAAGTTAGCAATCAGCATGACCAAACTATTAAGACCACCTCTCTGGGAGCTGTGGGGGGTCATGAAGTGCATAAACGTTCCATACAGACCATTTGTAAACATGTGTTGCATATATACACATAGAATCATAGAGAAAAGAGCAGGCAAAACATACACACAAACATGCCTGCAGTGGTCTTTGACACAAACACACAGTATAGATTTATATTTGCTGAAAAAGACACATAGTATGATCTGGATCTCACATAAAGAACTCTCTGATTACTAACTAAGATGACAGAAGATGAGCAGCCACAAATTGCTGTCTGCATAAAGATGTTTTCAGAGTCCCATAAACCTTTCCAGACGTCAAAGGCTCCTGACATTTCAGAACACGCGCTGACACAAATACAGCAGTTTCCACAGTCCACGGCTCCTTTGACTATTTGGGACCCGAGCCTCCTTTTAAATCAATCAGCCAAAATCCAAAACTGTCCAGACATTTCCATACTCTGAAGACGGCGATGTTTTCTGGCCTCTGGCTTTTATCTGAGGCTGATCATTTTTACCAGCATCTGACTCTGAAACTCACACAGGAAACACAAAGTAGAAGAAGATAATTGTTTGACATGATGAACACAGCATGTCCACAGTTTCTTTCTGGATTACCGTGCCCACCTTTGAGACCTTTCAAACCCACTGTAGTCTCTGATCAAACGAGATGAAAGTTGACATGTGGGCACACTATCAGCCACTTTTATTCTCCTGCTTTAAACCTTCCTTCTTATCCCTCAGTCAGTCCAGCAGCCCCCAAAGAAAAGACCCTTCTCCCGATCTGTGCAAACAATAGCAGTGCCAAACACCAAGGATTCCTTTGAAGCTTTCAGACCAACCTGTGCTGCTGTCTCGAGGTCCTATCTCCCTGAAACAGATCAGAGTTAAGATAGTGAGCAATATTTGCAAATACATATATGCTCAAACTGCCCCTGTGTTGTTGAAGCTGGTGGAGCTCAGAAGCAGGAAT